ATGTCCATGCTTCCTAGCATTCAACAGAATCCAAAGCAAATTCCCACATCTTTTTGGAAAGGTCACAATCCCTCAGGCTTGGTGGCTGAAAACACTTATGGGCTACCACAGGATTTCCAATAGGTTGTCAAAATTTTGTTGATGATTGACAATCATTTGCATGTCACATTCCATGTCCATGCATAGCAGAGAGTGACTGGCAATTCCCAAGTAGCAGTGACAGGCTAGGTGATTTATTACCTTTTTTTTTTTCTAGTTGCCAAATTAGTCTTTTTTCCAAACTATAAATGCCATTTTGATATTTTAGAAATGTTTTTTAAGGAAAAAGAAAAATCCTTTTTCCATAAACTAATCAAGTGAATATTTGGAATACGTATGGTCACTACATTTTAAAAGATGACAATTTAATGCTGCACACCTACAGCACATGTCTGCGTGTACACAAGCACACAAATAAGTGCTCTCTGAAGAACTTCTAAAGAAGCCTTAAATCAGTTATTCTGCTTTAAGGAGATAAGTTACTTTTAGAAAAAAATAATTATCCTAAATTTTGAGAAAACAAAATTAATTTCTTCCATACAAAGAAGGATTCAAAAATCTCCTTCCATACAAATTGATGGTGTTTTTAGAAGTATCTTCTTCATATTACACAAACTCCTATTCTGAACAGACATTGAGGAATATAACCCTCTATCAACATAACCAAGCAAAATTAGTTTTGCACTTTTCATAGTCAACTCTGCCAAAGGCTACAGGACAGACCATAGCAGCACCATACAATTCATAACCATTTCACATTCTTCCAAGTTTTTACTACAACAGAATTCTGCAAATACTGATCATATGTAAGGCTTCAATGCTAACTATTGTAGATTTTTAATTATTCGCTTTTCTCTTCTTAGCTAGTAGCTGCATTTCCACTGCACTTAAGCCAACTCCAGCATGGACTTGACATATTTCAACATTCAAGGAACTTTTCTATTACCAAAAATATCAAAATCTTACCAAAAATATATGCAAATATTAGTGCATATTCCTTGCCCATCAGACCTAAGAAGAAAGCAAGCACCTTTGTTGTAACCTACACTTCATAAACTTCGCTAGTTTCTCAGCAAAGTAGCCAACTTCTCAATGCTCATATATAACTTTCTTGACCATTTAAGCACTGTTTGGTGCATGTAGTAGTAGCACCAAACCTTACATTTATATCTTTTTTCATGTTTCAACCCTTCCTGAAATGTCTTTGGTCTAAGTTTGCTTATCTTATGCAATGAAATACTCACTTGTAAAATATCCATTTAAAACACAAATTTAATTCATACTTGCAAAACAACAACTTATAAAGAGGTCAGGAAAAGCATCAAAGCTTCTTATTCAAGCTGATGGAATACTTGCTCAAACAAATAAAAATCATAACAAATTAAATTACACTTATTAACTTGGAAAATTTCCTTATACATTCATATTCAGAATAAAAAGTTTTTGCTCTAAATCTTCATGTACCATTTTTCCAATCTTACTGCCATGAATTCTCCTTAAAATAGGACATCAGAATTTAGATTGCTTAACTATTGTGACTAGACGCCAACTGTGACACTTATACCCTAGTAATTATAAAAAACTAAACTTGTAACATTTTTTTAGGACAGTTTTCAGACTACCTCCATCCAAGCAAATTAAACACCAGCCTGGTGTTCCTGGGCAATGGAATTAAATCCCTGAATTCTAGTAAGTTTTTGACAGAGATAGCCCTAGCTTGCTTTCAGCTCGTGCCAGCTGCCCATCTCCCAGACTATTCTCAGGCACAGTTCAGGGTGAGCATGGGTCATGCACCATTCCCAACAGAGCTTGGCTGCAGCCCAATCTGGGGAAAAAGAAAATTTCAGAGCATGGATGAAGGGTCTTCCATAGCAGTTGGCATCAGTGTCACAGAACTGTCCTGATCACACTAATTTACTAGCACTGATGTAACCCAAAACAAGTAACTTTTGCCTCAACTTTTTAACCCAGGTTTCAAAGTACCACAGTGACTGTCCTGAACTCCTTACCTTTAATCCTCGCAAACATCAATCATGTTGTCTGCTGCATTCTGGAAAAGGAAATGCCTTCCCAAGACAAGTGGGGTACTGTGAGGCCAGGCAACAAAGGGACACAGAGCATATCAAATATGTCACAGTTACTCCGAGGCAAATGTCAGATGTGCCTAGAAGCACAGTGCTTGTTAAAAGAAGAGTTAGTTACATCCCATTTCACCACTAAGCATGAGCAGACACACGAGGTAGATAATACAAATTGGCTCACACACTGTAATCTCTCGTTTTATCTTAGTCTAGAGCAACTCGTCCCTTTTTGCAACACCACAGAGAAGTCACAGTCCTTTCAGATGCACACAGGCAGTGCATAAACCCATGATGCTTGTGAGGCTGGGTATTTCTGAGCAGCAGAAATGATCACATGCCCTGTGCCTTACTAGACTATTGCGTACAAAACTCTCATACTCTGTTGCAAGTGAGCCAATGCAATTCTCACTGCACGACTGGTCAACACCATCCTCTCCATGATAGACGTGGAAGAGCCATTTCAGCTGTACTGGACAAGTAGCAGCTGAAACATTGCTCTCCTGAACTCAACATCCGATCCAGCAGTTCAGCCCAAAGCGTTTTGAATGTATTGCTGAGCTCTTTAGAGTCTACGCCACATTGCTACTGCACTAACTCCATTTCTCACCTATCTTTGAAAGTGCAGCAACCGGTCTCCTGGAGTGAGCCCTGATATTCAGCTGGAAGAAAATGTTACCCGACAGCTGGCATCTTGGCAAGATTAACTAGGTTATGCACTTTAATATCATCTGTGAAGACACAGCTGTGCCTTCTTAACTTCCACATACCAAAACAAACAGGGGAGGCAAAAATCAGTAGAAGAAAATCAAAATCTTGGGAACATTAAACCTGTTTTTATTTCTTCCATACTAAATATGGTTCTAAAAAGAAGGGAAGTTTTAGATGAAATTTCATCATTCAGAAATAAACCACAGGAATTTCATGGTCCTGGTGAAATGTTGTTGCTTGGAGACTCAGGTAGAAATTTGTTACTGAAGTAAGAACTACCAAAAATAACTCAAGTGATATTTCATTTGGCATAAGGTCATGAAGGCAACATTCAGAGACATGTGAGGGGAGATTCATAAATTTCAAAGTCACGAGATCCCAAGATGACCTCACAGCAATTGGCTTTTTGATAGTTAGGAGAAGTTTTAGCATAACGAGATAAGGACAAGATGCAGAAAAACGCATCACTGGGTGGCAAGCTGAAATGTACTTTAAAAAAATTGCTTTTAACAAAACAAATGGTCAAGGACTGCCAGTAATGAAGTCGAAAAAAGACTGTTGAAGACCCTGCAAGAATCTCTTCATAGTATCATAGTATCATAGTATAGATTGGGTTGGAAAAGACCTCCAAGATCATCAAGTCCAACCCCTGATCCAACTCCAATTACTATATCATGGCACTAAGGGCCACGTCCAATCTCTTTTTAAAAACCTCCAGGGATGGTGAATCCACCACCTCTCTGGGTAGGCCGTTCCAATGCCTGATAACCCTCTCTGTAAAGAATTTCTTCCTAACATCTAACCTAAACCTCCCCTGGCAGAGCTTGAGCCCATGTCCCCTTGTCCTATTGTTGGTTGCCTGGGAGAAGAGACCAACCCCCACCTGGCTATAACCTCCCTTCAGGTAGTTGAAGAGAGTGATGAGGTCGCCTCTAAGCCTTCTCTTCTCCAGACTGAACAACCCCAGCTCTCTCAGCCTCTCCTCATAGGACTTGTGCTCCAGTCCCTTCACCAGCCTCGTTGCTCTTCTTTGGACCCGCTCCAGCACCTCAATATCCTTCCTGAACTGAGGGGCCCAGAGCTGAACACAATACTCAAGGTGTGGCCTCACCAATGCAGAGTACAGGGGAAGGATCACTTCCCTGCTCCTGCTGGCCACACTGTTCTTGATGCAGGCCAGGATGCCATTGGCCTTCTTGGCCACCTGAGCACACTGCTGGCTCATGTTCAGCCTCCTGTCGATCAGCACCCCCAGGTCCCTTTCCGCCTGGCTGCTCTCTAGCCACTCTGTGCCCAGCCTATAGCGCTGCAGGGGGTTGTTGTGGCCAAAGTGCAGGACCCAGCACTTGGCCTTGTTGAACTTCATTCCATTGGAGTCAGCCCATCTCTCCAGTCTATCCAGATCCCTCTGCAGAGCCCTCCTGCCTTCCGGCAGGTCGACACTCCCTCCCAATTTGGTGTCATCAGCAAATTTGCTGATGATGGACTCAATCCCCTCATCTAAATCATCGATAAAGATGTTAAAAAGGACTGGGCCCAGCACTGACCCCTGGGGAACACCACTGGTGACCGGTCGCCAATTGGATGCAGCTCCGTTCACCAGCACTCTCTGGGCCCGGCCCTTGAGCCAGTTCCTGACCCAGCACAGAGTGCCCCTGTCCAAGCCCTCTTCCATACTTCAACACACACTTGAATCTCATCTATCAGATAAACATCCTGGGCCTACACACAGCAGTCCCTCTCTGAGTACTTAACGAGCCACAACCTAACACATTTGCTGCAGCTGTTGCTGCAGGTAGTCCAGGGCTGGTTGGGGTACTTCCTACGTTACAGTGAGACACCAGATCACAACAGGCAAGGAAGCACATTGGTATCCACAGGGATGGAATAAAAACATCTTCTGTCCACCTGAACAACTCGAACTTTGCCCTTTGGAGCAATATAGGATGCTGCAAAACAACCTTGGCTCCCTCCTTTAAGGAACAATGTAACAATGTTAGAAATAAGCACCCTACCCAGAGGGAAGTAAAATTGTATGGGGGAAGGGGGGAGGAATGAGTGATGTAGTATATACAAATAGATTCAGCAGCAAGATGTTTATTAGTCCCTGCTGAAGGGAAGCCAGCAACAGCACTACTGGCGACTCCAAAGCCTTCACAGTTGTCTTAATACTGGGCACATTTCAAAACACCTGGAGGATGTGAATTGGCTACTAACCCCAGGCCGGCCCTGCTCAGAGGTTGTGGGGTTGCCCCCTGGGGGCAGGGTGTCTTCTGGCCTAATTATCACACTGGGCTGCCAGTCCCTTATAGAGCAGCCTGCATTCGCTGCTCCCCAAGTTCCTCAGAGTTTCCATACTCTTACCCAGACAGCACAGTAGAAGGTATTATGGAGAAGGGAAATCACTGATATATTCCAAATCCTCACTGCTGTTTTATAAAAACTGCTCCAGCTGCCTGCCAGTCTGATTCTGCTGGAATTTTCATAGTTTCCTATCACAGATCTCTGTTCTCAACAAAGTGAAGGACATTATCAGTGCTTTCAGTGAAGACATCTACATCCTCGAATGGCCGTGTCATAACCTCTCTTGGTATTCTTGCTGTTGACAACTCTACATTTTATATGGGTTGTCACTGTGGAATATGTTAGTGAAATTTCTTTGGCTCTGGTACCTCAGGAAAGTGTTGCCATACACAGAGTACAGCTCAGTGTTTCATCCTATCCTTTGAATTTTTTATGAATATAAAAACCATCAATGAATAAAAAGCAATGATGGCTTTATAGAGGCACAGATCAGAACCTACACTTTCCTCTCCTGCACACCAACCTATAACTTTCTTTCCTTTCAGCCTTTTTACTCCTACATGCTTACCCAGTAATTCAGTTTTAAAAGAAAAATATTATATTCCTACCCAAATACCAAAAAAAACTCATGTCATTCTGGGTTGCAGATAATCAAAACTCTTCAAGCTCAAAGAGGCCTAAAATTACATCTAATTCTCAGATACTCAAATCACTGTTATTCTTATGCAAATTAACACAGAATCAGGATTCAGGTTTGGATTAGCTTTCCCTGGTTTGTAAACCAAAGCCAACATTCAGGCAGTTTGCTATTTGACTTTCAGCATATGGTGAACCCTAGGCAGAGGACAAGAGCATCATCTCTGAGAATGCGATTTGTGAGAAGACACAGATACACTAATACTCCTCACAGTTCAGATGCATAAAGAAGTTGGCAGTGGTGGAAAGCAGCTAACTTGGACCACAGTATGACACATCCCAACTTAGGATTTAGGACTGGATTTTGTCCTTTGTCTTCTACATGGTTTTGTTGCATATGCCCATACCGCTAAACATCACTGAGTTTGCTTTAAGGCTTTAGTACTTCTCAGACTTCATTTCTTGGTTGCACCAGACAAAGGAGCTTTCTGTGCACTGGGTGGTCCGAGGGGTGGGTATCAAATCACCATAACAACACACTGCAGAGCATTTCTTTCAAGAATCATAGTATTTTCTAAACATTAACTAATTATTTTTCCAACTAGCAATATATATGCATGAAGCATGAGCCTCTCCTAGCTCCTAAGAGAGATCTTCCACCCCCCTAGTGTCTTGTTAAAGTCACTTCTCAGAACCTTTTAAGTTGTGCAATGAACTTATTCGATGGCTATTCCTTCTCCGTCACAGGATTGTTAGGCTGAAGTAATTAAGCACTGCTAATGATTATAATAAAAGCCATTATCTTCAAGTACACATTTGATCTTCCTGTTAAGTCATCATGTAAAGGCAGCACATTTATCTCAATTTTTCACTTTCCCTCCAAGACTTTACATACTCTATATTCTCTAAATGTTTTTCTGAGATCTACACTACTGATGTTACATTTTAGTCCAATCAGAAATAGAGGGGGGGCGGGGGGGGCAGGACCAAACAATAAAAAACAAGAGGGGCCCCACAGTGCTGGGCTACGGGGAGCTGGAAACCAACCCTGCTGCAGCATCAGTAGGAGGTTCATTCCCAGGAGGCTGATGTAGGGTCCCGACTGTGAGATGGTGGGGGAGCCCATCAGGGTGGGCTGGGACAGTCAAGCCCATTACCACCCTGAGGGCCCAGACAAAACCAATACTAACAGCAACCGTGATACCAATTTAAACATAAAAATAGCTTTAGCCTGATGTCAAAAGCAAAAGGGCCCCAATGTATGCGATAAAACACTCTGCTTGCAGATAAAACTGTTGTCATACTAAAAATATCAGCAGCAACTGACACACAAAAATTCCTGTTTACAAACTCACAGGGAGAGTCAAATCATGAAAGATGCCACTCTTCACAAAGCAGCCAACACTGCCCATCAGGAAACATTCAGCATGGGCAAGACAATCAGGAGAAGAGGAAAATATAAATATGTAATTACCGAAGTTAATAAAAATGTCATTAGAGCCTTTGAAATCAGAAAGAAATTATACTGCTAATTTTAAAAGATTAAATCTTGAAATCATGATTCAGTTTTTGTTTTGTTTAGTTGCCTCAAGACATAATTTAACAAGACACTTATCTGCATGGTTACTGAATGTACTGTCAGTATTTTGGACAATAATATCACTAGTATTTAATAACAAGGATGACACTCCTTATGACATCTTCAAGTCTTAGAAAAATGTTAAAAGATCAATATGTGGCTACCAAACAGCGGAAAATCTTACTGCAGTTAAGATTTCAAGTGTCGGAAGTGATGTTGGATTTCAAATGGCCAACAGTAGTATCTTTAAATTACTTATATTAAAAATAACCCTGTTTTATAGTTATAAAACAGTAAAGCATAACAGGTAAGTGACACAGAAACAGGAGTAACCGAAATCAAAGTAACATTGCCCAAATACATATCTTAACAGGATAAAACAAGAAAACATTGGGGTACTAAGGGAAATTTTTGCTTTACAATACACACGTGCTCCTATTTTTCTAAAACTTTCCCATCCTATACATGTACCATAAACATGATTAGAAGATGGAGGGAAGTTATAAAGTAATTTTTAAAAAATGATAGAGAGTGCAGTGTTGATTCCTTTTCACATGAACATTAGGGAGTATAATTTACTTTGGTAGCAGAAGGCTAGTAATCTAAATGTCCATTGCTAACAAGTAAACAGACAGTAGACAGTGCTACAGAAGTTTGCTGTGGCAGAAACTTTTCCTCAGTGAGACAGAAGCCCTAACCAGACAATGGCAGGAAAAAGCAGAGTAACAAATAAAGCAGGAGACGTAGTACCTATCAAAAAGAAAGGAGAATTTTTTTACAAAATCAGACGACAACACACATGTTCATGGATGATCAGAATCAGAGAGGCAGTGAGACTAGACAAGCCACGGCAATGGCTAAGTATCTGAATGAACTCTTTACTGAGAAATTACCTAGTCTTTAAGATGACAATTTGTTTTTCCTCTCACCACAGCCTCCTTTACGGAAAAATTACCAAAGTTCCACCACAGGAAGGAATCTCAAAGAATAGGTGATGTAGCCTCACAGGAAACCTAAACATATCCACCTACAAGCATTACCAACTACCATCAACTTAATACAAATTCAGAAAGAACTTAAGGTGTCAGAGAAAAAAACCGCTTACAAAAACTTAGACTAAAATACATCACTGTTCTCCAAATTATTTGTAAGAAATAAATGAAGAAACTTGAGAAATTATTGATATAACTCTGATCGGTTCCAACCAAGAGTAACTGGAAAGCATAAATTAAAACAAAATAACCAAACCTAAAAAACTGGGAAAAGTACTGACAATATAATGCCAAATTCCCATAATTTCTGTCATGATAAACCAAATTCCTCCATAATTGTTTGACATCCTCCGAGTTAAAGAAAAATCTGAGGTGTGTGTATGGGTATATATACACATATATGTACTAACATACACATATATGTTTACATATATATTATATATATGTGTAAATACAGGGAAATTTGACACATTTCCCAAAGCTTACTAAAACCAACCAGGATACAGTACACAATAGTACTGTAGCCTGAAAAATTACTTGAAGAATTCTGGCTGCCTTCCAATAAGAAGAATGGTGTGGTTTTCCAGAAGTCAACAATGCATTCTACATTTATCACAGATTTGGAAAAGGCAGTAAACACAAAAACTCGATTTTGTCTGATAATATAAATGTGTTCAGATTGGGAGAACTCCAAAATTTTAAGACTCATAAACTAATTTATTGAAACTAGAAAGACTATTAGACAATGACAAGATATGAAATATAATTTAAACAAAAAGTAAAAAAATACTGGTAATGAAAAACAAGAAGATAAGCATCTCTGAACTACCAAGACCATCAGTGGAAAACTGTCTGCTAACTGCCCAAAGATCAATAAATCTTATACTTGGTATTCAAGAACTACCTAAAAGAAAAAAAAAATCAAAGGGAATTCTTAAATACATATCAAAGACATACTACTTAAAATAGTAATGCAACAAAAGTACTACATACAACCACACATCATAAAGAACATCAATAGTAAGAGGACTGAAGTGCATGTACCACCATTAAATGTTTTAGTACTATGGCACAAAAAGAACTTACAAGTATAAAGAAATTGTAGAAGCTAAATGAGATACAGAACTGAGAGCATTTTAGCCGAAATACAAAAAACCAAAATGAAAATACCAAAAATGTTAATTAGACTGCTTTTTGCATATTTGCTAGACTGAAAAAATCAAATTGCAAGCAGACTCCATTATTTCATATAGCATCTAAGCCATTTGTCAACACTAACTCCTAGTCATGGAGATAAATAGTGTGATAATCTGTTTATTTACTAGAAAGAAAAACAAACAAACAAACAAATCAACTTAAAATTATTTATCAGTCAAGTCATTAAACCATTACATGGAAAACACATCTTCAGAGTTTCAAATGCAGTTAAGATATAGAAAACATCTTGGAGCATTTCATAAGTAATTAACTTGGTCACCCACACCAGGGAGGCGCACTGCTTTCACTGGCAGTGCAAAACCACACCGACTCTCAGCCTGAACAGCAATACTCACACACCTTTGTGCAAGTCAGAGTACGGAAACCAACAGCAAAAGAAATACAGTCATTTCAGACTAAGTGACCGTGCTAGTATCGGTCCCCTTGGTGGTGTTCCCTCTCTTTGTACTTTCC